AAAAAAAAAAAAAAAATCATAATAATTATACACGACGAGGCATCGATAAAAAAAAAAAAAGAAAAAAAAAAGAAAAATGATGAGAAAGATGATGAGAGATGAAAAAACGTTTAGAAGTCCTTTCCCATGTGATTAGTGAGTATATTATAAGCGAATGGTAGCTTCTACTCACGTGTGATTGTATTTCTTTAAAGGCACTTGGATAATGAAGATAAAAGGAATGCATATAAAAGAAGACGGATTAAATCCAAGACTATGTGGAATACTAAAGAAAACATCGATTGACAATGCCACGAAGGGGTACGTAAAAATGAACAATCAAAACAACCAACCAAATCAACAACAACAACTACCAACAACAACAACAAAAACAAAAATAAAAATAAAAACCAAAATGTTTTTATATTATTGCGTTGATAATACGCGATATTTAATCATCTGTGATATATGTTATATATGTTTTAAATATATAATAATGTCGTATCCATTGTGGCTTATTTATAACTCCTATATTTATTATTAAAAATATATATATATTTTATGTTAGTTATTGGCAAGTATTTTATAAAATCGATTTTAAAATGCCTTTTTATATTTTTTGTATTTTGTATTTTTTTTTTTGTATTTTTGCATTTGCAAGGATAACAATTTGTTTTTTTTATTTTTTTTATTTTTTCTTATTTTTATAATATTTATTACATTTTCAGAATATTATATTATTTATATATATATATATTTGTATGTAATAAATTTATTATATATAATATTTATATATATTATAATAATAATAATATATAATAATATGTATATTAAAATTTATATATTATATGTAATAATATATATTAATATTTATATATAAATGAACTTATATTTGTACATAATGTACTATCCTATGTATTTTTAAAAACTATTCTACACCTAATCTCGTAAAAGGGCTATTAAACATATTTATTATATCATTTGATCAGTATGATTTTCTAAACTTTTCATAATAAATAAAAATAATATTAATAAATAATATCATTCACCGTTTAACATAAGTTCAAATATAATCATTCGAAAAATTCGAATTCTCTTGAACCTATTTTAAGATCATTGTTTTTTTTTTAGCAAACACCAACTTACATTGGAAAAAAAAAAAAAAATCTGTTCATTTTGTTCATGCTTATCATCGAGGTAAGGTAACAAAGATCAAAGTGAGAACTGTCACTCTTTTTCTAGAAAAAGAAAAAGAAAAGAAAAAACAAACTTGACCTAGTTTTTAATTATTCTCGACTTAAAAAAAAGAGAAACAACATAAAAAGTAGATGAAGAAAAAGTAAAAGTAAAAGTAGAAGAAGAAGAAGAAGAAGAAAGGAAACTAGAAAGTAAAATAAAATGAGTGCAAATAAAAAAAAAATAATAATAAAATAAACAAAAAGAAAAAGATGAAGAAGAAGAGAGGAATAAAGGCAAAAAAAAAAAAGTAACGAAAAAAAAATTTACTCTGTTTCAGAAGTTGAGTGTGAAGTATCCAGTCAAGTTGAGTACTCACTACAAGCAATGTGGGGTGTCAGCATAAGGGAACTTCACTTGGCCCTTTGGAAACCTTGGAGCAATCTCAGAGAAGCGTCCTTGAATGGTACGCTTCTTCAAAGCCACGCTCAATATCTAACACCACCACAAACGTATCCTTTTATATGCTAATCATTATTATTATTATTATTATTATTATTTATCAGTAATTTCATTTACATTTTTCTATCTCATATCACTACTTCGTTCTATTTTACATTCGTTTTTAAATGTTACCTTGAATTTAATGATTTATATATTTGTTTTTAATTATTATTATTATTAAATTATAATTATTATCATTTATCAGTAATGTCATTTACATTTTTCTATCTCATATCACTACTTCGGTCTATTTTACATTCGTTTTTAAATGTTACCTTGGATTTAATGATTTATATATTTGTTTTTAATTATTATTATTATTATTATTATTATTATTATTATTATTATTATTATTATTATTAAATTATAATTATTATCATTTATCAGTAATGTCATTTATACATTTTTTATTTTATATATTAGATTATGTTCATTTTTACATGCGTTTTCTTTAAATGTTAATCTTGTGATTGTAAGTGATGACTTTTTTTTGTGTTCTTTTCTTTGTTTTTCAATAATTATTATTTTTATTATTATTATTAGTATTATTATTAATAAAAATCATTTAGAGATTGTATATTATTTACGTTAGTTCAATTAGATTTCGTTTAAAAAATGTTACGTTAATTTGTTGTTTCTTGGCACGAAACACAAAATTCTATTCGTAAAATCCGTGTAAAATTTTGTGTAAATGCTTCGAGCAAATGATTTACCATTAATAAGTGTTCTTTTTTTTTTCTTCTTCTTCTTCTTCTTCTTCTTCTTCTTCTTCTTATACAAAAGATATACATGTATACGCACAAAGAGAGAAAAAAGAAAGAAAAATAAATATTTGAGATTAATTTAAGCACTTTTAATTGCTTGATCAAATAACTTTTATTCATATGATGATATATTCCTTAAATAATATGAAAATTTTAAACATTTTTCAAAAGTAAATGTTAAAACACACACACACATACATATATATATATATAGATATATGTTTTTTTTTTTTCTAATAAAATTTGTCAATGCTTGTCTCCTGAAACTTCTTTTAATTGATTTTATAGACAAGTTCTTTTTTTTTTTTTTTTCCTTTGATCTGTTCATACATCACAGAGAGATATAAGCTTTTTTTTTCTTTTTTTTTTTCTTTTTTATTAGCTTTAAAAGAAAAAATAAAGAAATAAAACGATAGAAACTGTTTGTTCAGGCAAAGTAAAAGTTAGCAGCAGAAGGCATCAGAAGAAGAAGAAGATTCACGAATAAACAACGTTTGGGTTTGGTTATTTTTAACCATATTTTTCACGGCCATCAGAGGACGAGGATAGTTCGAAAACAAATCACACGAGGAGAGACATTTAAATGCTAAACGTTTTGAATCATTATTAAAGGAATTTTTGTTTTGTTCTGTTTTTTTTTTTTTTATTTTTTGTTTTTTAATTATTTTGTTTACTTCACTTTTTTTTTGTCTTTCTTCTTCTTCTTCTTCTTCTTTTTTTTTTTCATTTATCTCGTCGTCTCGTTATTTTTGTATTATCTCACGAAAGTAAAATTTCAATAACATTTATACGTTTTTTATATACCGTGGTAATTTTGAATTATGGATTAACCTTTGCTTTAACACACACTTCGTCCAAAGGAAGAACCCCCCTTAGACCATTTTTTGCAACTTGAGTCATTTTTCTCAATTGTTCAACTTTGGTCATTTTTTTTTTAAAACATATTTAAATTTAATTTAAAACTATACAACTTATATAATCATTTTAAGTAAGTATTAAGGATGTCTCAAAGAAATGTTGAAGTAAATCTATGCAATAGTTTTTTTTTTATAACAATTGTTCTCACCCGGGTCCAAAAGACCCGAGTTTGGTAAACGTGTTACTCCAAGAAGGTTGATAAACAAAGGTTAATTTCTTGAATTAATGTCAAATTTCACACATTCGTCGTTTATATTTTTAAACAAATGCTAATTGTAATGTTCAACGAAATATGCTTTTAAACTAAACTTATAAAAATGTCACGGTTTAACTTTGCTATTAAATTCCAATAAGCGTACGAATATAATTGAATTGTTTTTTTAACGTGACAAATTAAATGATAATCATAAAGAAATTTGAAAGAATTTCAATTGGATTAATAATTGAAATATTATTAAATAATTAATATTAAAATTATTATTAAATATTATTCTCAGGGACGGGGAACAGCAATGATGGGATTTGGTATTTGCAGCAATGAACTTTCGAGTTCCTAATGCCAGTTAATAATAATAATAATAATAATAATAATTAAATATAATTAAATAATATTTTATTTAATTTGTTTTTAATCGTACTGTGAAATAATACGAAGATTAAATTTTAATGAAAAATTTTTAGTTTACAAAAAAAAAATTATATTTAAACGAGTGATTAAATTTAATCACTCAAAACTACTACAATTAAAATATTAGTTTTAAACATACACACAAAATGAATGAAAATAGAAATTCATAAATAATAATAAACTAGAATTTTCTTGACCGATTAAATATAGTAGACAATCTCACGGAGAAGAAACATTGAGATTATCACTTCCGGCCCCAGAATTAGAACTGGGAACACCACCACGACTTTGTTATCCATTAGTGATCTTTCTAACACGTAAAGATAATGGTGATCCACATCCCGATGAAACTGTAAGTATGAATTATATTGAAATAATAAATTATACTTCTTTATATAACAAAAGTACATATGTACTTTTTCTTTTATTATATATTTATATTAAATTTAATATTAAGTGCACACGTATATTCAATATTTGTCAATATTTTCTGCTACTACAACAGTATATATGTATATATTTTTAAATATAACGATTAATAGTATTTTTCTTTTATTACATTACTGTATAAGTGTGTTATTTTCCACGTATTACGAAGTCCTTGACAAATATTTATTCATAAGTCTACTTATTTTTTTTTTTGTTCAAATTACATACCATAATTTTGTTTTTATTTTGTTTCTTCTTTTATTTTTTTTGTTCAAGTTACATACCATGATTTTTATTTTTTATTTTACTTATATCTTTTAACGATTGCATAAAAAGTAAAAAAAAGTCAAGGTTCTGTTTTTTCTTTCCTTTTTTTTTTTTGTTTTGCCTATCATTATTTAATGTATGTAGATTAATAATTAAGTGTTGTGTAGGTTTAAATGAATGCATTTTTCTTTTCGTTTGTTTTATATATTTTTTTTTTTTTTTTAATCTATTTGTTACACAGGTTGCTTTGGTGAATGTCGTCCATATCAAGGATAACGTATGCACCTTACCAACCTCAATACTGGCACAATATTTAAAACAAGCTAATGGACAATTATCTTGCCTCAAGGTTAGTTGCCTTCGATTATTCGATTTTTATTAGGGTTTTCTTTTTTCTTTTTTTTTCTTTGTCGTCTGTAAATGTTATATTGAATTTTAAATGCAATTTATTATAACTTAGACGATTCAAACGATCGAGATTTTTCTCCTTGGGGTTTTTTTTTTCTTTCCTACTTACTTACTTACTTACTTACCTTTCAATTTATAATTTAATCGGATATGTGATAATCGATTTCCTTTCATTTTCTTTTCTTTTTTCAAATTTTTCTAGAAATAACTCGAGAATAAAAACAAAACAAAAATGAAACAATTATTTTTATATTAAATGTGTATTTATATTATATTATTATAATATTAAATTATTTTATATAATACATATTTTATAATGTGTGTTAATTAAATATTATATATTTTTTTTTATAATTTAAATTACATATTAATATATTAATATATATACATAATTATTTAAACATATATAAATATTTATATATTATTAAATTATATAAATTATTAATATTAATTAATTTAAAAATTTATAAATAAATATATATTTAATTATAATATAATTATAATATATATAATTATATTTTAAATATAATGTGTAATATAATATAATTAAAATTGAATTATAATATATATATATTACAATATTATATTATATTACAATAAAAGACCAAAATTGAGAAATGTGAAGATTCTTCAGATGATCTCTTGATGTATATCTACTATCTATAATATTAATCCATAAAAATAAACCCAAATACTAAGTCTTTCATCATTCCATTTGGTATGTGTCTACAAACAACCATATGAAGAATTCTAACATTAACCAATTTCTATCTTTCATCATTTATTTAAATATATATATATATATATTAGATCTTCTTGAGATTTGTTTAGACTCTTATAAATAATAATAAAAATTTGTAGCAACTCTATTTGGCAACCGGCAATTCAACAAATTACGACGAGGGTGAAGTGTCATCTGGATTGGGCCCAGCATTGGCATTAGCCGAGCCATGTAACAACAATGGAAGTTCTACCAGAGGTGCATTAGTAGCATCGGGTAACAGTGATTCAGAGGGTTCATTTTGGAACACAGCTGGTGAACAATTATGCGTTGTTTGTCAATATTTCCCATTGTCACGTGCATTGTTACCGTGCAGACATACATGCATATGTGCATCGTGTTTCTGTAAACTCGATCGTTGTCCTATGTGCCGTAGCCCGATAAAAAGTTATTTTTGTATTCGCGGAGAAGAATATATGCCAATTGAGAAGGACACTAATTCGTGTTGCAAACAAAGACAACAGAGTCATGGGCCAACTCATTGGTTACACGATTGGAACGACAGACTTACAGATTTTCTCGGATTTGCACGATAAATTATTATTTTTCACAACATTAACACCGCCAACCATTCACTTATTAATAATCATTATTAAAACCTTTCCTGACAACCAACATCCTTCTTCTCATACTACTACTATTACTACTACTACTACTACTCCATTTGTTCCTTTCATGTCCCATAACATCCATCTCTTAATCTTCCTACTACCATCACATATATTATTCTCTTTCATTTCGAATTTTTTCGATCCAACCTTTTTTTTTTTTTAATTATTCTTAAATGATACTATATATATA